TAGAAGAAGAAGAATAACTTTATTTGTAGCAAGGATGCAGCCCAAAGTGCTCAACAGAACAAGATGAGTTTAAAATAAGTAAAAACTGGTTACAAAAACAAAACAGAACACATGTACATTTAGAAGTGTGAGTCAGAGTAGGTACATTACAAGTACTTTATTTATTGTGGAGCCTGATGGCACAAAGGATAGTCCAAGGCGCTTTGTGGTGTGCCAACGTCACTAGATCTTAGCTCATGGTTTGTTTTTTCCGCAGATCAACTTCTACTGTGGGATGTTCCTGCTGCTCTGCATCAGTCTGGATTGCTACCTGTCCATCGTCCACAGCACCCAGCGGTTCTCCCAGAAGAATCCCAGGTTGGCTCACATCTGCTGCCTGTCGGTGTGGCTCCTCTCCGTGATCCTCTCCATCCCTGACTGTGTCTTCCTGTCTGTGAATAATGGCACGGGGAAAAGACTGTGTGACAGCTACTCTCAGTCCCTATCTACCTCACAGCTGGTGTCCCGCCTTCTCCACCTCACGCTGGGCTTCCTGCTGCCTGCACTCGCCCTGATCATCTGCAGCTCCTTCATCCTGCTGCGGGTAGAAAGAGGCTCTGAGGGTCCTCAAAAGAAGAGGGCCGGCAGACTCCTCCTGCCCCTAGTGGTGGTCTTCTTCCTCTGCTGGATGCCGTACCACATCATACTCTTTGAAGACACAATCAGAAGAAGCTCTAAGGAACGTGATGGCGGTTCATCTAGAAATCTTAAGAGTTCCCAGATTACAGCTCTGATGTTCACATCTGCTGTGGGCTGCCTGCACGCCTGCCTCAGACCTCTGCTCTACTTCGGCCTGTGTGGAAACTTCAGGGAACGGACGCTGGCCATGTTGACGTGTGCTACAGTAAACTCTAAGGGCTCGCTCTGGGAGCTGGGTGTGAGCGAGGAGGCCCCGCCCCCGCCTGAGCAGAATCACGAGGAGGAAGAGCTGAAACAGATGACTGAAACAGATGACTGTAGATCAGCAGGTGCAGTCCACTCACTGCTGAAGGATGGACAAAATGCCCCCTGTGACTCAGAGGTGACTTGAATATCGCTCCACCCCTGAGGGGGATTTAGTGTCATGGGTTCAAGGGATGGAGGACGGATATATGATTCTTTCACATTGCACTTTAATGTGAAGTTTTCCGAGTCACGTCATGGTGACACTTGCTGTTGAACTTTTATTTTGTAATCACTGTTGCACAATTTAAGCTTGTCACCCAGAATCATGAGTTTTTAATTTAACCGTAAATATCTGTGTTTTTATTATGCATTATTATTAGTGTTTTTATTGTAATAATTGAAAGCAAGCTGCTTTTGTTGTTTTAGATATTAGTAAGAAAAAGTGGCCATTTACATTTTTCAGCTCTTCACAATCATCATAAAGCTAATTGCTGGGTGTTTAAGCTCTCGTAAAAACAATATAGTGTTATCCTTGTCAGTGTTATTGTAAATTAAACGGCCCGACAGAGTTTATAACTTCATTGCTCGATAACACAAACACTTTTCATGTTATCTTGTTATATATTGGCAGATAAGACTGGATTCCACGACTCGTATGTTTCAACACCACAAAGCGAAGGAATTTCCCTTTGGCAAACCCCAAAGCCTTATTTCTTTGTTGTCTGCATTGTTGCAACATGGGTGTGTGGACTGTGGACTCTGAATGATACAAACAGGTGGTGACATCATGTGTCAGGTGACAGTGAGGCAGAGAGGAAACAAAGCTCTCTGTTGGTGCGACGCCTCCACATAGCTCTCGCTGTTTATTCTCATCTGAATACATGTCTGTGTGTTTGGTGGACAGAGCACAGTGGAATGCTTTATGTCAAAGGGCACATGCCTGGAAAGAAAATAGTATAAGTGGTGTAAGAAGATTACATCTCACAGTGCAGGTTGTGTGCTAAACGTGTGGTTTCACTTCCACACGGCCTGCCAGAGACTCCTGATTCCTGCGCACTAAGAAAGAAAGAAATGTCACATGTGACCTGAAATAAAGTATATTACTTTCACAACCTCGCAATGTACAATCATTTCACCCCAGAAGAAAAAAACTGTTTCCTTCTCTCAGCCCTCCTTTAGTTCCCTTTTCTGTTTACGGTGTTAAGGTTTATCAAGAGCTCATATCTGAGAAATACTGGTTGACAGTGACAGCAGCAACACATACCATTTTAGCATTTCTTGTTAAAGTCCTGAGTATTGCATCGGTTTGAAGTGTTACTTCCTGTGTCAGCTAGAGCTTCTCAGCACAACAATAAAGAGACAAGAGGCCCTTTTCTTTAAAGAGTAACAAACCGGTTTTCAGTACACACTTTGTTAAACTGTCCCGCAGAAAGAGAGTTGACTTCCATCCAAAAAACAAGGCATTGATCCTTAAAAGTACAAAGGTAACTAGGTGATTAAAGTCTAATGCATGTTGACAACACAATGTGTCTGAATGGGCGTGAAGCCAAGTTCTGACAGGAAGAGTTTAAAAACCTGTCTCGGTTTGTGACTGAACCAGTAGAGCTGCTGCTTCTGGAGTGTTTACACTATATGGTTGTTGCTGTAATCAAACGTTTAAGGGATGAACTCTTCTAACACTAACACCTCCAATTGGCTGCAGTGTGCCTTCATGAATACGAAGTGTTGTGAGCGATAGAAGTGGTGGCATGTTGGGGTTTTTGAGTAATCTTGTGAACATTAGTTGATATGAAGAAGACTGACACACTCGCTTCATTTCTCTTCTTTGTGCTTACCTCTTCTAGTTTCTGCTGAAGCCACATGTTGAAGGATGTGCGGCTCCTTTCCTCGAATTTGTTTCAAGTTTCCTGAAAATAATTTCCACAGAAACCGCTGCATGTGGGTTGAACGTTTCTTTTGCTGTTCTTCTGTGTATCAGATGTAATCCCCTGATCCTAAATGTATGATAAGCTTTGAGAGCATGTCAGAAAGGTGAACACATTAAATGTATCAGGGTTTAATACACTATACAAGTTTCATGCTGCAACCTCTTCCTTATCTCCCGTTTGAGTTCAATGGGATTTATACAGTACTGAGTTTTAATTGTATAACCTCAATACTTACGTCTCTGTACAGGGCGTCATTGTTAATTACCAAATAACAAAATCACAATTTAGAAAACCTACAGTAAACATTTTAAAAATCAAAAACAAATTGTTGGCATCGACAAGACTTAATAAAATCTAAATAAAGCATTTATTAGGATTTAACAGGAAAACACTTGCTGTGATATACCCCTTTTAAGCCACCAACCAAACTGTATAACAATGTCTAGGTATTTAAAACAATATACTGTAAGTGTTCATCTAAGTTCATCATTTTTATTTTCAGTCATTATGTTCTAACAGTTACTTCAAAGGTATGACAATTGTTTTGCCTAAAATATAAATTAGCCTCAGACTTCAGTCTGCAACAAATACCTGTAAGTTGAAAACACTTGTAAGATTCAAAATATTTCAATCTTTATTTGAACAATGTATTTACATAATGACACATGCAGTAAAAAAGTATAAACAATATGTAATTTAAAGGTTTCTGTGTAAAACAGTAGAAAAGCTGCACCACGATACTCCTTGCTGTCAGAAAAGAGAAATGCTATGTTTCTATGCTATGCTATGCTATGATGTAAATGTTCCTTGGGTCGGATTCAAACCCCTCTCCTCTGCAGCAAAGGCCGCCAGTTAGCTATATGGTGGCCTGGGGCCTCATTTATAAAGGGATATAAGCTCAAAAAATGGCGTACGCCAGTTTCTATGCAATGTTTGCGATTTATAAAATACTAACTTGACGGGAAAACGTGCGGTCCTCCACGCAAACTCTAACCCATGCATACGCACTAAGCACAATAACGGGAGAGATGCGACACCGTTGGCAGAAGGAATAAAACCATAAATAAAATGTTACCTCTCATTTATCATATATGAAGAATTCATTTTCAAACATTGATTAAAGCCAATCTTAAAATGATTAAACAAACGCCTGTTTGAGACTCCTCAGTGCACACAAAAACATAACTTGGAGAAATAAATAAATACGGATATGTTGTTTAAAACCACCTCGAATATGTTGTGTTAATGTTATGAAATGTTTTCTCATAAATTATGCGGTTTTGCATTTCTATAGGTTGTACGAGCATGGTTTTATATACTACCATGTTTAATCATGTTTTATGCCGTTTGCTAAGACTTGATAAGTTGCTCATAAAACACAGGAGGTATGGAAACTAAGCCTAACGCAACACATTAGTTGTATTTCCTTTAACTGGTGGATATAGAGTTGCTGCAGTGGAGACGCTGCGCACAGCTGATCGACAGCTGGGACACAAACCACCAAATACAAAAAAATAATTCAGATCCAGTCGTCATGACTCCACTCCGGGGGGATTCCCCGATCATTTCAAGGGGGGGTCTCCTGTCCCCGGTACAAACACACTGCCTGAGGAAGGCTATGTGTATTTTTTTTGTCATTAACCTTTTTCGGACCACTTATTTATTTATGTTGGTGACGATCCGACCTCCATGCTGCTACTCTGGCTCAAACGGCATCCACCAAACAATATGATTTATCTCGACCTCCCCAAGATAACCAGAATCTGACACGGTGCGAGATGTCTTTGTTAGCTATTCTGTCGTAATTTCCTGCGATCTTCTTCATAAAGTCAGTCAGAATGAATGAATGAATGGGCGTTTCTTTCACTATTTATAGGCAAATATGGGCGTTACGTGAAGCCCGCAAAAGCTGCACCGCATTTCGAGTCGGTTGTGATTTATAAAGGGAAACCGGCGTAGGAAGTGCTGTACGCACTTTCCTCGCCGGTACGCAATGTTTGGTGAATCGGGAAATTTCGGAACATTTCTGTACCTATTTTTTGGATTTCTACTACGTAAGCAACCTTCCCACGTGAATATACGCACGGCGTTATAAATGAGGCCCCTGGACATGACCTGTTCAAATGTTCAAATGTTTGTGGATCCCTCTCAGACAGCGATGGAGTTGGAGGTGTCTGCAGACTCTGACCACAGACGCCTGAACTTCACTCCCACGAAGGCGTACAGGATGGGATTGAGGCTGCAGTGGAGGTAGCCTAGGGAGGAGGTGACCACCATGGCTTTTTGCAGAGATACTCTGACTCCACAGCTGTTGTCCGAAAGAAGTGTGTCCACCATGAGAGTGATGTGGTACGGCGTCCAGCAGATGAAGAACACCACCACCACGGCCACGATGATCCTGAAAGCTTTCTGCTTCTGAAGGCCCTGGGAGCCGCAGCGCAGCCGGTGCAGGATGCAGGAATAACAGAAGATGAGGACGACGGAGGGCAACAGGAAGCCCGCCGTGTGGGACAGCACGCGGGAGGCCAGTTCCCAATTAAAGACATATTTGGGGTCGAACTGGAAGTAGTCTGGAACACACTCTGTTCTGTTGCCTCTCCTGCCATCCTTAACAGCATGGTAAAAGACCCAGTCAGGGAGGGAGAGCAGCAGCGAGAAGATCCACACCGCCAGGCAGCTGATGTGAACCACCCGGGGGTTCCTGCAGGAGTACATCTGGGTCGCGTGGACGATGGACAGGTAGCGGTCCAGACTGATGCACGCCAGCAGGAAGATCCCACAATAGAAGTTGATCTGGGGGTAAAAAGAAATCACAGACGAGTAAGAAACCTTTTTGCAGCCACTTTAGGAGAATCAGAAACAGGTTTATTACCAGGTTGGTTGACACGTACGAGGAATTTGACTTGATGTCGTGGTGCATGCATAAAAGTAAAACAAACGTTTAAAACACAGATAGAGAAATAATAAAAAAATATAGTAAAGTATAACAGTATTTACATAGAAATGGAATGGATTAAAAAGGAATAAAATATGGAATAAAAATCGGCAGTAATAAAAAAGAAAGAAAAACATATGGTTGTACATTGTGTGCATTAATATAATTACTATCATGAACTTCAAAGGAGTACTCCACACACAATGACCATTTGTGTATCAATTTCTCGCCACTTGTTATCTTAAATTCTGGAAGAAATCTTGAACAAAGACTCCATAAACTGAGAAAAATAATTGATGAATTCAAGTAAACAGGGGCTGCTTAGCAGAACTATTCTGTTTAGAAACTCTCAAACTACTCGTGCAGTGTAATCCAAGTCTCATTAGAATAGTTGTATGCTCACTACTTCCCTAACACATTTAAATAACAACAACCTTGAGTCTGATAAGGCAGAAGTCCTGTATACTTTACTGCAGGAGTTGGACATTTTTTTAAACAGATGTTGATATTGTTTTGCTTGTTCCTAAATGTCTCTTCAAGAACATGGGGTTAACTAATTGATATACAAGCTATTCCTACACCCTCCGTCTGAAACCACTGCCGGCTCTGTTGTGATTGTGGAGAGAAACTCCGTCTGGAGGGAACTTTTGGGTTTGTGCCTTTGCGTTTGGGGTGTCAAACTCAATTTCATCGCGGGCCACATTAGCATTATGGTTGAATTCATATGGTCAGTTGAAACTTTAAGACTATATAAATATACATATATAAAAATACAATATATATAAAATAATGTATTATATCATTGGGTTATTATCAGGTAGGGTAATAACTTCCTAATCAACTACGCCTGAAAGCGGAAGTCTAGGGCAAATAATTGCGAGTCTCTTCATTGCGCATGTCACAAAAGGAAATGCATTGTGGGACATGTTTATGGGCAACGTGCATTTGTAAAGCGGCATGTAACCGTATAATAAACGTATGTTATTCTTTGCAAGCTCTTGCGGGCCGGAATTTGACCCACGGGCCTTGAGTTTGACACCCCTGATTTACATGCACAGAAACCTTCATAGAAGCACCATAGGGCCCCTTTAAAGGTCCCCTATTATACTGTTTTTCATTACTTTATTATAGGTCTCAGATATATACAAAACATGTCTCTGGAGTGTTTGGCTCCAAACACCAAACAGATCATTGCAGCATTACCCATAATCCCCTCTGTTTCAGCCCTGTTTCAAAAGTGCTGATTCTCTGTCTGTTACTTTATATGAAAATAAGGAGCCCCTCCCCACGCCCCTCTGAGAGATATTTGGTTACAAAGAACACAATAGTGCTCTAGGAGGAGATTCAGGTGATAATGATATTTGCATAATAGGTGACCTTTAATGCAGTCTTACCGTAAAAAGCTCCAGTGATCTTGCAGAGCGGAGTTCCAAACGTCCACCCTTCCTTCTGAGCGGACTGTGCGGCCCACAGCGGCAGCGTCAGCAGCAGCAGGATGTCGGCTACCCCCAGGTGGAGGATGAAGATGTCCGTCACACTCCACCTCCCCCTGCTCCGAGCCAGAACCCCCAGCAGCACCCCGTTCCCCAGGACTCCCAGAGCGAAGGCCACGGAGCACAGAACTGGTATGAACACCGACTCAAAGTGCATGCCCTCAGTCAGGTCACATACATCACCATTTACAACAATCCAGAGGAATTGTAATTTTCATACAACTCTTCTATGCCGTCAAACAGGCTGTATCCGGACTCTGTGGTCGACTCCATCTGGAATCTCTGTGCAAAAAGAAGAATAGAAGGAGGAAGGAATATAAACATACATTTTGTCTGAGCATTTGATACTTGTTGTCTTTCAGCCACATGGTGGTGCTGAGTAGCTTCAAACTATATCTATATTTTTTTTATCAGGGCATACATGATCATCTCTTAAACATTCTCAAAAATCTGGCTCTTGTCCTGTAAATGAAGTGTTTACAGCTTATTGTCAGTTGTGTGCTTGGAAGACAAAGGAATTTATTTTTAAAGGTATTGATATAGCATAGAAATCCAATTTTAGGCCACTAAAGTGTCTAACATTAGTTTATTTAACCCCATTGTTAAGGGTTTTGTTAAGTTTGTGTGTAATCAGTCGAAGGACAAAATATAGATCTAATTTTTCCTACATGTAACCAGGGGTTAAGTTGGGATTTGATATGTGGGGGGGCTCTGTGCGAGAGGGGGGGCGGAGGTCGAGGATCTCATTATTTGACCTTAAGGGATAGGCCTATACTGTGGCCCTAAAGCAACTGCTCCATTATCTGTATCAAATGCACACATTGATGCCACCAAATGTCACAATAAAAATAGAAAGTACTACAAATAAACTGGAATTCATTTACATCTTAAATTATTAATATACAGTGTATATACACAAAAAAAGGTTTACAAATATCCAACCTTCAAATTGCTTTTTTAAATCAACACTGCTCTGCACACTTGCTAAAGAACATTTGTGTGGAAATCTTAATTCATTTGTCGGGCTGCGTGAGTATGGCCAAAAGTATGGGAGTCAATCTCACTGTAACTATTTAATCATCACCAAATTCTGTGTTATGACGGATCATAACTCAGCTTTATGCAGACATACATTTAGCGGTGTACAGGGCTGGTTTTTGGCATAGGCGGTAGGGCTGAACGATATACCGTGTTATGGCGATAACCGCGATATGCGCATGCGCGATATTCACACCGCAGGGACGTGCGGTTTTATTCATTATTATTTATTTTTAATGCCATTGAACACGTCTTTTGATCAGATTGACAGCTACGGTGAGACGATCTCCCATAAAAGATCCGTAAAGGTACGTGTTGTGATGTCTGTGTTTGCTTCCCCTGTCGCGAGATCGGATCGATTAGATACTATACTTAAATAATCTGTGGATACAATACCTTCATCCGGTTAAATATAGTTAAAAAAAACGCAATATATACTACAGGGGGGAAAAAAAATCGCGATGTCAGTTTTTTTCAATATCGTGCAGCCCTAATAGGCGGCATAGGCGGTCGCCTAGGGCGCCAGATCTGGGGGGGGCGCTGCGCTGGCAGCTCTGGGAGGGAAAAAAACATTTTTGACTGTTTGCGCTCATCCTAATTTTCGGCCTTGATGTAACAACATTCATAATTAAGTAAATGTAACACCCTTTTCACCCCGGTTACACGTTTCATTTGCCCTGTACGATGGGCGCTGTAAGTGATGAAAATGGGGGGTGTTGGCTTATCAGGCGTCCGCAGCTCACAGCCAAAGTGGGCGTGGGAGCGAGCAAGAGAGATAAATGCAATTTATGTAAACAAATATTTCCAAGGCACTCCTTTATAATTATTTGGATAAACAGGTTTGAAATAATTTCAATGTATACTATAGGACAGTAAACCAAAAATATCGTTTAAAACTTGAGAGTTAAAAAAATATGCATAAATAAATGTTAACTAGGTAAAATAAGATATAAATGAACAACACAAATAAAATAAGTTACATTTATTTGTTTTTGGCTGTGGTATGTTATTGGTTATGTTCACATATTTGGTTATTCAAATGTAAACCGATCTTTTTCATATGGGTGTTTAGAGTTGTACCCCCTAGATCAGGGGTGCCCAACCAGTCGATCTCTGCAGCAGCTCAAGAAATTCAGAGTGAGGAAACATCTCCTAATCCAGTTCTACACAGCCATCATCCAAAGCATCCTCACATCATCCATCACAGTCTGGTACACCAGTTCAGACAACCTCTCCCGGAATAAACTTCAACGTATCATCAATAAAACATCAAAAATCACCTGCAGTCCCCTTCCATCACTCGAATCACTTCACCACCAACGAACTGTCACAAGGGCAAAGAAAATCATTTCTGACCCCTCCCACCCAGGTCACCATGTCTTCCAACTTCTGCCCTCAGGGAGGCGCTACAGGCCGCCAAAACCGCCCATTTCAAAAACAGCTTTTTCCCCTTTGCAATACGGACATTAAATGGACTCTAAATAACCCCAATGAACAATAAGAATCCACCACACCTTGAACTTTATGTTATATGTCTTTGCCCTGTGCTGTGTGCTGTACTTTTTATTGTCTGTTTATTGTATGTTGAATTGTATGGAACAAGCTGTAATACTCTGCACTGAACCCGAATTCCACCAGCCTGGCTGTGTGGTCATTAAAGATTCTAATCTAATCTAATCTAATAATTTCAGCCAATCAGCGTCGTCAAATCTGATGATCACCGGGCGCCAATGTCATCGCCCGGTCCAGTCTGTGAGTAGTTTGGACACTAGTGACTCATATCCGGTGGGGTGACGCAGTACGGCAGTAGTTGATGAGGATGGCTTCATGTGCAGGTGGAGTCTCCGGACCTCGGTCCCCGCCCAATTCCGTTCAAGAGCTAATCTCCAATCCTTTCGAAAGGAGAAGTTTGGGAGATAAACTGTTGCTTAAAGACCTTGGACCGGACCAACCCGATTTGTATATATCGCAGCAAGCTCGTGAAAAAGACAAAACGTATCAACGAGGCTTCTCACGTAGCTGGTACACCAGAAAGACATGGCTAGCTGGATGCAAACAGGTAAATGCTGTCTTTTGTACAGATACGATCTGTTCAGAAACTAGACAAAAGTTAAACAAGTACACTGAACAAAAATATAAACGCAACACTTTTGTTTTTGCTCCCATTTTTCATGAGATGAACTCAAAGATCTAAAACATTTTCTATATACACAAAAAATAACCATTTCTCTCAAATATTGTTCACAAATCTGAAAAAATCTGTGATAGTGAGCACTTCAAGATGCTGATTAGACAGCATGATTATTGCACAGGTGTGCCTTAGAATGGCCACAATAAAAGGCCACTCTGAAACGTGCATTTTTGCTTTATTGGCGGGGTCTGGGGGGGGGTCCGAAAACCAGTCAGTATCTGGTGTGAGGGGTAGGGGTAGGGTTAGGGTAATGTTGTGAATTGAGTGGCCCATGGTGGTGGTGGGGTTATGGTATGGGCAGGCGTATGTTATGGACGAGGAACACAGTCTGTAGGCCGTTGTTGTGAGTGTGGACGGTCGGAGCATTTACAACGTTAGCTTCTCTCTCCAGTTTAGCATACTCAGCCCGACTCAGCCTGGTTGTTCCTGGCCCTAGAACCACGATTTTATGGGGCCAGAAAAACTGTGAATTCGGACCCGCTAGCCGGTACTAGGTCAAGTGGAAACGCAACCAAAAACGGGCCCCGCACGGCTCGGCACGCTTAAAGCGAGCTACCCGCTGCAGTGGAAACGCGCCATTAGGGTACTACCTTATCCTGCGAGCATCTTCCTACTGAGATTTCTATAGACGTAGCCGGCCTTGGGGCGGGCCTACCTGAATGTGCGCACATCTCACCGTATAAAAGGCATGATAAAAGGAGGCCTCGCCTCCTGACCGGCATCCCTTTCTCTTCAGCGGCGGAAGTGAAATCCACTGAGACGTAAAGACGAACGAGAAAGTAAAAAGAGAAGTCATGGAGCCACTCCTCGACCATAGAACCTGCCCGAAGTGCCCGAACCTGATCGCGGGAGCTGATCCGCACCCCCTTTGCTTCCTGTGTATGGGGCCGGACCACGCCGCGAGCATACTGGACCCGTCACCGGCCTGCAATGCGTGCCAGATGATCCCTCGGCAAACCCGCCAACATCGCAGGGATTTCCAGGCGAAGCACGGCCCACAGGAGGAGCCGGAGGATCAGGACCTCAAGATGGTTGAGATGGGCGAGCCGGGAGACGGGGAAGTGCCATTCCAGTTCACCCTTCCGTAGGGCCAGATGGCCCCGGTCCCGGAGGAGGAGGACGACGAGGACGCCTCATTGTCCGTTGGTCCGACTCTCAGGTCTGCGCGTCTGGACTTTCCAGCGGTGATGACCCTGGCAGAAGAGCGCATAGGCCTACCGCTCCCCGCACTGCTGCCACGAGGCCTGTAAGCCACCTGGGACAGGGGTTTTACGGCCCGGTGCATCCGGCGCAGCCGGCCTTCGTCTCGTCCCCGTTGTCAGACATCTGGCAGTGTGTGGAGGCGACATGGCAGCAGCCATTAAAAACGAAGGCCCCAGTAGCCGCCATGGCGGGCATCATCAGGGTGCAGGGCCACTCGGACACGGCGTGTCCTGTGCCTCCCCTAGACGAAAGCCTGGCGGCCCATCTGCTTCCAGCTGATTGGGCGGAGGGTAAGAGACCTCTGCCCCCACTGCCCCGGGACCGAGACACCTTGGAATATCTGGACAAGATATTCAGGCTCTGTACGCAGATGGCGGCTGCGGCAAATAACCTCGGCGTGTTGGGCGTCTCCCTGATTACCCCTAAGGCAGACGCCCCCGCTCTCCCGCAGCAGGACGGGAGCGATTATCCAGACCGCTGCATTGGTCAGATGAATAATCTGATCCATGGAGTGGCCACCGCAGCAGGGCGGGTGATGTCCTTGGCCACAGTGGCGTCTCGTCACGTCTGGCTAGGACTCACTGCCCTATCCAAGAAGGACCGGGAGGATCTCCTTGGAGCCCCCGTTTCCACGGAGGGGCTCTTTGTGTCGATATCTTCGGTCACCCAGTGCTTCAGCCGTCTAGAGGAAGAAAGAGTCCAGCTTAGCCGTATGCTACCGCTGGCTCTTCCTTAGGCCCCCCGCAGTTCAGGGACCCCAGTAGAACACACTACAATACGTAACCCCCCGTTTCATGATGCAACAATACCTCTTCCTTATCTCCCGTTTGAGTTAAATGGGATTTATACAGTATATGATTGACTCATTTTATAACCTCTGTCTAAGTCTCTGTATAGGGCGGCATTGTTAATTACCAAATACCAAAATCACAATTTTGGTCTTTTTGTTCCATTTATACACATTGTTTGATTTCTACTTTTTCATTACGTTATTAATAATGGACTTAGACTCAGACCCTTTAGTTTTTGATTTTGTTGTTGTTTTATTGTCCTGTCTCAGTCCTTTTTTGTTTTGTTTTATTCAAATCGCACTGTTGTCATCCTACTTGTTTGCCAACTGCTATTGTGCTGTATGTTTGGTTGTTTGTTTATTAAAAAAAATGAGAAAAAAGTTAAAAAAATAAGACTTCTGTCTGTAACAAATACCTGTAAGTTGAAAACACTTGTAAGATTCAACATATTTTAATCTTTATTTGAACAATGTATTTACATAATGACACATGCAGTAAAAAAGTATAAACAATATGTAATTTAAAGGTTTCTGTGTAAAACAGTAGAAAAGCTGCACTACGATACTCCTTGCTGTCAGAAAAGGGAAATGCTATATTTCCATTACAACTCAAATAAATCTGCTGCTCACAGTACAGCTGTATGACCTCAGGTTCAGCTCAGACAAACATATTTTTGTCCCAGTGTTATGTTGAGCTATTAATGTGCTGAGGACGACAGGAACATGAGAGAAAGGTTTCAAACACAGGACATTTACAGAAACACATGTTCACTCAGCTGCTCAGATCTCTGTCTTTGTGTCAGTTTTAATAAGCTTAATCAGGCTTATACGTGTGTTTTGTTTTTTAGTTTTACGGTAATTATTTGGGCCACCAGTGCCTTAACTGAAGGGGGAGAAAGAGGGGATCACTTGTGTCTAATCTGATTGAAATGACAAAAATGAATTCAAACATAGATGGGTGGTTTGGATAATGCTTTGGCAGTGCAGCAGCTGTGCATTTATTCTAGTTTCCCAGAACAACAAAACAGCAGTAACTGCAAACTCAATAATTAAAGATAAAGTTGAATTAACAGCTCTCTGAAAATATCAACTAAAACAAAACAAAACATTTATGAGATGTTAATGTTCCTTGGGTCGGATTCAAACCCCTCTCCTCTGCAGCAAAGGCCGCCAGTTAGCTATACGGTGGCCTGGACCTGTTGAAATGTTCAAATGCTTGTGGATCCCTCTCAGACAGCGATGGAGTTGGAGGTGTCTGCAGACTCCGACCACACAGAGCTTCTCCTGCTGGTAACAGACTGCAGTTTGGCACTCATCTTCAGCTGGCAGCCCATATACCTCAGGATGTCCACGAGCTGACGCCTGAACTTCACTCCCACGAAGGCGTACAGGATGGGATTGAGGCTGCAGTGGAGGTAGCCCAGGGAGGAGGTGACCACCATGGCTTTTTGCAGAGATCCTCTGACTCCACAGCTGTTGTCCGAAAGAAGTGTGTCCACCATGAGAGTGATGTGGTACGGCGTCCAGCAGATGAAGAACACCACCACCACGGCCACGATGATCCTGAAAGCTTTCTGCTTCTGAAGGCCCTGGGAGCCGCAGCGCAGCCGGTGCAGGATGCAGGAATAACAGAAGATGAGGACGACGGAGGGCAACAGGAAGCCCGCCGTGTGGGACAGCACGCGGGAGGCCAGTTCCCAATTAAAGACATATTTGGGGTCGAACTGGAAGTAGTCTGGAACACACTCTGTTCTGTTGCCTCTCCTGTCATCCTGAACAGCATGGTAAAAGATCCAGTCAGGGAGGGAGAGCAGCAGCGAGAAGATCCACACCGCCAGGCAGCTGATGTGAACCACCCGGGGGTTCCTGCGGGAGTACATCTGGGTCGCGTGGACGATGGACAGGTAGCGGTCCAGACTGATGCACGCCAGCAGGAAGATCCCACAATAGAAGTTGATCTGGGGGTAAAAAGAAATCACAGACGAGTAAGAAACCTTTTTGCAGCCACTTTAGCAGAATCAGAAACAGGTTTATTACCAGGTTGGTTGACACGTACGAGGAATTTGACTTGATGTCGTGGTGCATGCATAAAAGTAAAACAAACGTTTAAAAACACAGATAGAGAAATAATAAAAAAATATAGTAAAGTATAACAGTATTTACATAGAAATGGAATGGAATAAAAAGGACTAAAATATGGAATAAAAATCGGGGGGGGGGGGGTGGGGGGTGGGAGTGTTGGAGAGAAACTCCCTCTGGAGGGAACTTTTGGATTTGTGCCTTTGCGGACCATTCAGGGGTGTCAAACTCAATTTCATCGCGGGCCACATTAGCATTATAGTTGCACTCAAAGGGTCATTGTAACTTTAAAACTATATAAATATACACATATAAATGTATCATATATATAAAATAATGTATTACATTATTGCCTCTGCATTGGGTTATTATCAGATAGGGTAATAACTTCATATACGTCTGAAAAGCAGAAGTCTATAGGGCAAATAATTGCAAGTCTCTTCATTGCGCATGTCACAAAAGGAAATGCATTGTGGGACATGTTTATGGGCAACGTGCATTTGTAAAGCACCATGTAACCGTACAATAAACTTATTTTATTCTTTGCAAGCTCTTGCGGGCCACATAAAATGAGGTTGCGGGCCAGATTTGACACACGGATTTACATGTCTCAGTTATATACAAAACATGTCTCTGAAGTGTTTGGCTGAAATGCCAACAGATGTTTCAAAAGTGCTGATTCTCTGTCTGTTACTTTAGATGAAAATAAGCCACTCCCCACGCCCCTCTGAGAGATATTTGGTTAAAAAGAACACAATAGGCGCGTTCACACCGCAGTACTTTTCCCACTTTAGTTCCGAAATGTTGCGTTCACACCAAAAAGAACCGGAACTAAAATTTGTTCATGAGAACCTTTTTACCCCCTTTTCCGTCCCTGCTAGAGAGCAGGTACTTTCGTGGGAGAAAACGGTTCCTATTTCTGATTGGCTGGGCGGATTGCAAACCACGCCCCGTAAAACTCCAAAAAAGTTTTGTGAAGCCGCCATTTTATTATCCTCGCATTAGCATTATTAGCATTAGCCCAGCGCAGAAACGCAGAGAGACTAATTTATGGCAACACAAAAGAAAACATGGGAGCGGTGGAGATGAGGAGGTGTCGGCGTTCTGGCGATTTACTCGGAAGGCTTCAGTAGACGCTGCTGGGAGTCCCAGCAGTTTCTACTGAAGCCAGTCCCCAACTCCGGGGACTTCCGGCCGGGGACTTTGGGCGGCAGTATACGCCTTGAAGTTGTTTGCGGCCTGCCAGTAAACCCAAAGCAGAAGAAGAAGAAGAAGTGACGTCAGCGGCTTGATTTGCCTAATCCACCCCCAGGGACTTATTCCGGTGTGAACGCGATCTGTACTTAGTTCATGAGAACTAAAAAAGTACTGCGGTGTGAAAGCACCTATTGGTGCTAGGAGGAGATTCAGGTGATTAGGTGGGGGGGGGGGGGTTACCTTGGTTGGTGATTGGCTGATGGTTACACAAGCCAAAAAATCGTTATGACATAAAGTGGCCAAAATCTGATCAGCTCATTTTCACACAGGTTTTTATAAAAATGGATCAGGACAAAAAGAGAGAGAATCACATGTTGATGTAGAAGAGACATGAAAAAGTGGATTTTGCATAATAGGTGACCTTTAATGCAGTCTTACCGTAAAAACAGCTCCAGTGATCTTGCAGAGCGGAGTTCCAAACGTCCACCCTTCCTTCTGAGCGGACTGTGCGGCCCACAGCGGCAGCGTCAGCAGCAGCAGGATGTCGGCCACCCCCAGGTGGAGGATGAAGGTGTCCGTCACACTCCACCTCCCCCTGCTCCGAGCCAGAACCCCCAGCAGCACCCCGTTCCCCAGGACTCCCAGAGCGAAGGCCACGGAGTACAGAACTGGTATGAACACCGACTCAAAGTGCATGCCCTCAGTCAGGTCACACACATCACCATTACAACAATCCTCATCAGAGGAATTGTCATTTTCATACAACTCTTCTATGCCGTCAAACAGGCTGTATCCGGACTCTGTGGTCGACTCCATCTGGAATCTCTGTGCAAAAAGAAGAATAGAAGGAGGAAGGAATATAAACATACATTTTGTCTGAGCATTTGATACTTGTTGTCTTTCAGCCACATGGTGGTGCTGAGTAGCTTCAAACTATATCTATCTATCTATATTTTTTTTATCAGGGCACACATGATCATCTCTTAAACATTCTCAAAAATCTAGCGCTTGTCCTGTAAATGAAGTGTTTACAGCTTATTGTCAGTTGTGTGCTTTTTTTTTTAAAGGTATTGATATAGCATAGAAATCCAATGTTAGGCCACTAAAGTGTTGTTAAGGGTTTTGTTAAGTTTGTGTGTAATCAGTCAAAGGACAAAATAGAGTGCCACCCGGAAGTAAGCTGCGCATGGGTTCCTTCAACAAAAAAGCAATGCAATTTCTCCATAGGATTTTGGAAAATAGCTCGAAATCATAAATCTATTGATCATAAATCTATCGATCATACACACACACATGTGCGCAACAGCAGCACCATGACCATCTGAATAGCGAGAAATATACACAAATGTATTATATTGTAACTTATTCCCATGCATGTTGCTCAAAGTAATCAGTCTCACTTCTGCGTCTCTCCCTCTCCTCTCGCGCCATGCACACCAGGCAGGAGTAAGAGTGAGTTACCATGGTTACGGGGACGCTCTGTGTCTCTGTCGCTCTGAAACTTCTCGCGATTCCCAATAATACGTTTTTAGTAATATAACATAATACAGTTTTGGTTAACATTATACAGGGTTAATGTTTCTTGATTAAATCCAAAGAGGGCAAGTGTGGTGTAACAGACATGTAGGAAATGGAGAGAGAGAGAGAGAGAGAGAGAGAGAGAGAGAGAGATAGAGCGAAGAGAGAGAGAGAGAGCGGAGAGTTAGATCAGAGAGAGAGAGGCTTCTCGCAAGTCGCCCGCTCCGTCGAGAGAGCTCGATCTCGCCGCTCTCTCTTCTCTTCTTTCTCTCTCGCTCTCTCTCTCCTACTTCTCTCTACTCTCTCTCTCTCTCTCTCTCTCTCTCTCTGCTCTCTCTCTCTCTCTCGCTCTCTCTATCTCTCTCTCTCTCGTCTCCTCCTCTCTCTCTCTCTCTCTCTGCTTCTCTCTCCTGCTCTCTTCTCTCTCATCACTCTCTTAGTTGCTAAATACTGTAGCTTATGCAATTTAGGCCTAGAAATTAATAATAACATGTGCATAGACATTTTTCAGGGGCGGACTAGCCATCTGTATAATTTACCCGCAACGAGGCTCCCCCTTTGACAAATGACTCCTCTGACTCCACAAATATCCAAAAACAATAGGCCTGCTTACCACTCCAACAGTATATAACAAATTACAGCCTAATAATAACAGCTTAACCTTCTCTATATCGCCTCGTTCACACAAATACAACTAGATTATATAAGCATTTAGTTCAAATGTGATTTAAAATGCTCTCAGGTTTTACACCTCTTATGAAATGTAGACTACATGTATTACGGAGTTTATGTCCAACAGACTCACAGATCGTTGGCTACTGAGAGATATACAAACACACCGCATAGTACGACACAAATCTCCGCTGTGGATTTTCAAAACAAAATACAGTAAAACTATGGTCGCAGGCCCAAAGTTTAACTCTGAGGCCTGCATGGTCTGCCTACAAAACAAAAATAAAAAACGTTTATGCAGCCTCAACAACAGCCTCTGATCATCAACAGACTTCATGCAATGCTTCATTGGATGCATATATTAGATAATAATCTCTATCTCACTCCTAACATCTAAATCTACTTTCAGCATGGATAAATGTTCATAAAATACATCCATTGCTTGTTCTATATGCTTCTTGAAATCCAAAAAAACACATTGTTTTTCTAGAACAGATTACAAATCGCCTGAAAATGGCTCACAGAGGCTGTGTGCTCCTCCGTGGCGATGACAGCTTGCGTTAAAAATAAATAAACATATTTGTAAAGTGGGGGCTATTGAGGGCTATTGAGCTACCAGTAGCTTGCGATCGACGTGTTGGAGACCCCTGCTCTAATGGATCCGACTAGAATCACAAATATCGTTAGTTCCGCCTATTACGTCAACCAAGAAATCGTTTAATCATAAACAATGTTTTTTTTTTTCATTTTCAGGGGGGCCACCGGGGGGTCCAAAGTCAGTGTTGGGGGGCACTGCCCCCCCCCTAGAACCGCCCCTGCGAAGGAGCCTGGTGTGCAATTTCTAAATGTTGTAAGTGATGTTTTTACATTTCATATGAGACTCTGCTGCATGTTTGGGGGTGTTTATCTATGCATCGATCTGTGCATCTATCTATCTTTGCAAAGTGAAGTAAATGCCTCACAGGTTATATAAATGCTCTTTGCAACACAACGAGGAACAGAAAAGACAGAATCAGATCATATAGCATAAGTTATACGTATTTTAGTATCTCTTGACGGAACAATCCAAAGCTTTAGCGTATGTTTTTGTCCCAATCCATATAATCTCAGTTCCCTTTTTAGATAGAGAAAATAATGACCATTTTACGCACACTACTCTAACTTTGAATTGGCAGATGGGGAAGAGAAAAATATCATGTCGAAGAGGAAGCATGTTTTCAATTCAGTTTCACGCTGTGCAGCAAGTTTGTTCATGCACTAAAATGTAAATCCCAATGTGATTGTTAATGTGAATTTGACTGTTGCTCCATCATTGTCCTATTGTGTAATACTTCACTAAACGGCACCGTTTTCTTAACGGCACACTAAACAACCACATCACAGGCTTATCACTCCGTGGTCGCTTACTCTGAACATGTCGTGTGAGACCAAACATCAAAGAGATGTAAAAAAGATTGAAGATTATTGTAAAGGTATCAGTAATTAATAACTTTGGTAAAGATGTCACTTTGGATCAACACATTTCTGTCACCACAATAAAAAATATTTGTGTTTTTCAAAAATCTTCTGAAAAGGACTTAAATTAGCAACGACGAAAACATCATGGATTATTTATTTGCAAAGCAACACTTGCTATTTGTATTCATGCAATTAGGAAAACTATTTTTTGTATATTTCTATACTTTTTCAAGTATAAATATTGATATCTAACAGAAGAGATATCTTCATAAGGCTTTCTTTGGCATTTAACCTTCAACAAAATGGTATTATTGTCTTTGTATGTGCTCATAAACACATAATAAAACAAGTAAATCAGTACAAAACATACAAGATGATGCATTGATTCAGATGTGATTATTGAAATCCTCAAATAATAAATAAAGATATATAATGCAATAAAAGCTTCCTTAAGAGTGATGAATGCATAATCTGTCAAATAATGTTTTAACGTTACTTACCAAATTTGTAATATTTGATATTGTCACCACAGCAGGAATGATCTCTATTGATACAGGGTTGCCAATAACACCCGTGTATAGAGTGAGTGGAGGGGGAGGGGCCAGACAACCCACCAACCCAACCACCAATACATTTAAGAACATGAAATAAGGGAAAACTCAAGCATGCAGTGTTTTATGTTTTAATATTATATTATATATATGTTGTCTTGTGTTCACCTCTGCATGTGTGTCTGTGTTCACCTCTGCATGTGTGTTCTGTGTTCACCTCCTGCATGTGTGTTCTGTGTTCACCTCTGCTGTGTGTTCTGTGTTCCACCTCTGCATGTGTGTTCTGTGTTCACCTCTGCATGTGTGTTCTGTGTTCACCTCTGCATGTGTGTTCTGTGTTCACCTCTGCATGTGTGTTCTGTGTTCACCTCTGCATGTGTGTTCTGTGTTCCCCCCTGCATGTGTGTTCAGTGCCGTGTGTCTGGCAAATAAAGTCAGACCCCCTCAAAAGTTCGGTTTATTTCATTTTAAGATGAGCACCAAGCAACATCTCCAGGTGCTCCTTTGAGAACCAGGGCAAAAAAGTTATGTGCACCCCTGGTTATAAACCTTTTTCTTACTCAATATCAAGCCACACTTCTTGTTTTTACTTCGGCTGTGAGTGTTTGTGTGTGCTCAGGATGAGTTTCGCTGTGTCTCGCTGTATCGCCGACCCGGAAATCTGTCCGCTCGTCGCAGCAGCGAGCAGCAACGGGCCTCGCAACGTCCCGACCAATCAGAGCACACTGGGCTCACAGGGAGGGGGGGGGGGGGGGGGGCAGGAGCTCCAACAAGCCGTTTAGGACACAGAGTGAATAAACATACTATACAGAGATGCTGTGAGAAACCAATGTGAGTTTGGAAAATTGCGCAATTTAAATATATTCTAGTAGACCTCAACAATGGAAATATGATCAGTAGAAATGACCATGACATGGGACCTTTAATAAACCAGACCTGTCTATTCCCAATACCAATGTTTTAAAGAAAGTCCAGACATGAAACAACAGCAGTGACACTAAAACAGAAACAAGAACAGATTCAGAAAGGGAGGTGAGTAAGTTGAGGAGCATGTTTATCCACTAAATGCAATACCAATGTAGTTACAACTGACCTTAAGTGATGCGACTAAAAACAAACCCAATAAAATAAGAAATAAACATGAAACTAGACTTTAAAAGAAATCTTGAAGTAACAACTTTGCCATTAAACCATTTAAAAACACAGATTATTGTACTTTAATGCAGCTTTGACAGCTCGTCATATGGGGGTAGGTGCAGCTGTGAGTCAGTAGTATTTCTTTTCGCCTCTGTTCCTGTAAGTTTGCATGAGAAAGCGTCAAGGTGCACAGCCTGACCACAGTATACTCATGTCACGACTGTCTTTGTGCGGTTTCTCTCTTTTTGCAAGTGAAATAATGTGAATGATGGGATGTTATTTTGATGTTAATGGACTTCACTGTTTGAACTGTCTGTCTAAAATGTATGTAAATTAAGAATGGAGAAAAAAAAGAAAGCTTCCTGTTGGTTTATAGGTATATCCTGTGGACTTTCACACCTCTGTTAATAGTGAGCTGTTTGTGTGTGTGTTGGAGGGTGCATTTGCATGCATGTGATGCTGTTTACAAGGTTAAGGTAATATGATAGATGTTGCAGAAGAATAAAATGGACGTTTAATGGGTTAGGGTTACTATTTGTATTGCTTATCAGTGTAAAATTGTTGATGTACATGCATGTAGGTGATGCTTTACTCAATGTGTTGGTATAGCAAAGTAAGCAATGCTGGATTTTAAATATTTACTTTGCAAAGGTTTTATAAGGAAGGAAATGCACTATTAATGGTCTTATCAAGTATTTATATATTGCATATCAGTGTGAAATCTCTACATGAATGATTTCCACTAACCATTTCATAACTGCCTCTAAAACCTCAAGATTAATATCACACTTTTTTGTTTTAAGTGTCTACACAGCGGCATGCAAAAGTGACACCTGCGCCGAGTTTCACATGTCTTGTCTGTTTCCCGAGCATCGTGTGTTCCTGTTTTTTTCACACCTTTCGTCTTCTCTTCTGTTTTGCTAGGCGTGTGTTCTTTTGTGGTTAGAGAGGACGATGGAAATGTAACCTGGCTATGAAAGTCATTTTTCAATCTTAGATAAGCATATGTGAATGGAATTAAGTTTATCGAATTTAAATAAACACTAAATGGAAACAGAGAATGTCTGGAGGTTTCTTGGGAAAACCCCAAGAAGCATAAAGGGCCCTAAAATGGGCCTTTT